ATTTTATTTTTTTGATTTCATCTATTCAATTTATGTAGTTAGTTGATATGTACTGTAATCTCTTACACATTAAAAGTTAGGTACTAAGTGCTGTGAGAGATAGAATATGTTTAAATGAGAATTATACTATCAGCTGCTTTATTTTATTTTTTATTTAAAATCAATTAATTAACATATAATGTATTATTAGTTTCAGAGGTAGAGTTTAGTGATTCATCAGTTGCGTATAACACCCAGTGCTCATTACATCAAATACTCTGCTTAATGCCCATCACCCAGTTACCCCATCCCCCACCCATGTCCCCTCCAGCAACCCTCAGTTTGTTTCTAGAGTTAAGAGTCTGTTACGGTTTGTCTCCCTCTCTGATTTTGTCTTATTTTATTTTTCCTTCCCTTCCCCTATGTTCATCTGTTCTGTTTCTTAAATTCCACATATGTGTGAAATCATATGGTGTTTGTCTTTGTCTGACTGACTTATTTCACTTAGCATAATACCCTCTAGTTCCATCCACGTCATTGCAAATGGTAAGATTTCATTCTTTTTGATGGAAGTAATATTCCATTTTGTGTGTGTGTGTGTGTGTGTGTGTATACCACATCTTCTTTATGCATTCATCTGTCGATGGACATCTGGGCTCTTTGCATAGTTTGGCTATTGTGGACAGGCACAACATAGCTTCTTCTTCTTATTTTTCCCAAATCAGTGCAATGGAACTTCATCTACATGGTTAATCAAACTTGAAACACGGAAGTCACCCTTAACTTCTCCATCCACCTTACTCACCACCTATATTCAAATATCCAGTCTTAAAATTTGTACCCATCTGAAAGATCCTTGACTTATCTTTCAAGTGAATCACTTGTGCCTTCATTGGGACCACAGTCTACTGAAATAGCACTATACGTACTTTCTTGTTTTTAGATTTACTCTCCTTCAACCTATCCTCCATACCGCTTACCAGAGTGATCTTGCTAAAATGTAAATGGACCCTGTCATTTTCCTGCTCAAAACCCTTTCAGTAGTTCCATATTGATGTCAGGATACACTAGATTCCTGGGCACAGCATTGAAGCCCGTGTGCCTGAACATTCCATGCTGATAATGCCTCTGTGCCTTCCCCATGCCCTCACCTGCTGAAGGCCCACTCATTCTTCCCTCTCTGATCAGGGACAATCCTGAACCTCGCCTGCCCTCTCCAGCTCCAATCAGGCCTTCGTGAGTTTTCTTGTTGGCCTTTATGTTTCTTTTATTACACTTACTTCCAATTATATATTAATTGTGTGAGTATCTGTGTAGTGCTGATTGTTCCAGGTAGTTTAAAATTCCTGAGGGCACAGCTAATGTCTGATTTGCTTACTATTCTACCTCAAAGCCAACATGTATCTGACACATAGTAATTGTTCAGTAAGTAATTGTCAAATGGGGTTACTTCCCTCACTCCTTTGCTAGTGGACTCTGACTCATCCATTAAAATTTACCTTGAGCATCATCTCTCCTTAGAATTAACCTCTGACATTGATCTATGCCCATTCCTAACTCCACCCCATGCAGCCTTGGATTTGTTAGGTAACTATCTGTTACCTTTCTGCAACCTTTTTAAAACCCTGTGTATATCGCTATTATAACTTCTGAATTCTCTTGCAAGTTTTTATTTTCTTGTCTGTTTCTTCAACTAGATTATGAGCTCCTGAAGCAACTGTTTTATATTTAAATTCTCAGTTTGTAGCTCTGTCTCTGGCAGAGTAAATGCTCAAGTTCCTCTTTTTCCCATAGGACATTGGACCCCATCTACAACGTCCCACAAAAGTTCTTCCGGCCTCTATTGCAGAAAGGAGATCACAGCACCTTCTCAACCATCCAGTTGGAAAGCTTTTCCTCGTGTTGAGCCTGAAAATTGTTTAAAGCTCCCAACCATTTGTTCTTAGTCTTGTCCCTTGGTGATACAGGATCAGGAGAGTCATAATTAAGAGGTAAGTGGTCAGATGTCAGAGCCAGTAGACAATTATGGGTTCTAGAATAGTGAACAGGAGAAGCAAGATAAGCCAAGCTTCCAGGCCAACGGAGTCTCCCTTGCCCCTTTATGTAGCAAGAACAAATCTCAAAAGGCAACCCCAAAATTTGCCTCGTGTTACTTGAAAAATAACATGCCAGAAACTAGGAACTGAAGCTAGATGTTAGACTCTTAAAACAATGTAACAGAACTAGTTCTTAGAAAAAAAGAAACTGGTACAGTTGCTTAAAGATTTGGCTAAAATCCCCTCCTTAAATATTTGGCTTACATTCTCCTCCTTCAAAACGCCTTCTCCAACTATGGCAATCCCCAAATGAGAAATGTTTTTCTACACATCTTTTCAGTGCTGATGAATACAACTTATACCCTATTATTTTATAATCAGTCTACTATCATATACTAATATTTTTAGTTGCATCATCTCAATATTGGCTGTATCACCATCTAGAATATTCACACACACAAACCCAAAGATAAATACACTATGGTTTTTGTTTTTCATTATTTTATTTCCCCTGTCCACACAGAACCCATTGCAATCAAGGTTCTGCTGTAGGGCCATAGTCAATGGCAGTTTGGTGACCAGAACATAGCAGGGGGCCAGTCCTTGAGGAGAGCAGCCTGGTATAGGCCAATGAAGCCCCAGCAGACTGAGAAAGTTATGCATACTGGGCAGGGCGTGCACCATGTCTCATATCAGAAACTGAACTGAGCTGAGGAGAGTTCTGACATGGAAAGGACTCCCTGGCAAAGGTTGTCAGATCCCGAGCAGGGCGAGTTGGGCTTGTGCAAGGGAGAGAAGGTTGCTATTGCAGTGGACAGCTGGGCATGTGCAAAGAGATGGTTCAAGTATGTAAATCTATTAAGGATAACAGGAGCCAGGTTTCTCAGTATTGGATAAGGGAATTGCAAATATAGAAAGGGAGAATGCTAGAACACTAGAATGAACCTTATCATATTGGAATTGGAACTGGAATTAGTGGTGTAAACTCGTGGTTTTTTCAATATGTGTAGATAGACATAGAATTAAAGATACATGTTAATTTGTATGCCTTTGTAAGTGGTAACATATACATACGTATATTCTCTAGGCTCCATCCACTGATGACCTGGGAGTGCTAGCACCCCCACCCACAGATCTAGTGCCCATCTCTCATTTTCTAGATACCATTATCCACTAAAAGGAACCAGGGCTCTTTGTAGAAATAGCTGATGCCACGATGGGCAGGGAAAGCATAAGATGAGCCTAGAATATATTCTCTGCTATGTTGTAAGGAAATACTCAAATACCCATCATTATGGGGGCCCTGACAACAAGGATGGTTTAAGAAGGGAAACAATATTTTGACTTCCGAATCTCCTTTGAATGATGCTTGACACACATTGGAAAATTATTATACTTATCCTTTAAAATACAAATTAGTACCAAAAGCTCACTTCATGCAAAGCAAATTTTTTTTTTTATCATTCCCATTTCTGCCTTGTATCCTGATACCAGGCCCTCAACTTCCACAAACCACCAGTACAATACACCAGTGCCAACCATACCACATTTGGAAACAATTTTTTAATGGTTGGACTTATGTGTGGTCTCTTACTATTTTCCATTGCATCCATATATTCCTTCATTCAACAAGTATGCATTAAGTTCCTGCAAAGTGTTACGTATTGTGATAAGGTGGGGGTGGGGGTTGGCACTGGAATGTCCTAGCCCAGCAATCCAGTAAACTTCTGGGTGGAAGCTTATCTGAAAAGGCTCATGCTGTTTTAGAGTTAAACAGAGGGCTGGAGATCAGTATTTCAGCCTCGCACTTGATCCAAGTTTGGGGGATGAGGAAGTGAGAAGGTGAGTAGATGAAATGACTTAGCCAAATAAAAACCAATTATATTTTAACCTTTCTAAAACATACACTAAAACTCTCCAAACTGGATGTTATCTGAAAAAATATCCTATCGCTCCTATGAGTGTAGAAGCATTTCGAGGATGAGAACATCGCCTTACTCACAAATGCTTGCTGAACAAACTAGCAGAGCCCTTGTTCTCCATGCTCCCCTCCACGCCCTCCAGAGGATGGGAGGCAAATGACCCAGAGGAGGTTAATGTGCTCCTCTGACCTCTAGGAGGAGCTGTGACTTCACTGAAATCCCAGAGGCTGGTCTGGGAGGAGAGGGGAGGGGAATGTGGGGGGCTGGGGCCTCAGAAGGAAGAGAATGCTCAGGCATCAGGGTTTGTTCCAGGATCAGCTTAGAAGATGGTGTATGGACAACCTGGACACTAAAATCCAGTCCACAGCCTCTATAGCACTGTGTCTACAGTCTCCATGGTTCATGTCCATTAGGACCTTTTGTTACTCTCCTGTGCTGCTTCTGTGTGTGTGGGCTCCATGTTCAGGCTCAGCACCCCAGGTAGGGGAGATGCTCTCTGGGGGTACCGGTTGCAGTAGATCTCTTTCATAACCTCGTCAGCACCCAACGAGGGTGCTTCCTACCCAGTTAGCATTAAATTCCTGTACCTTAAAATGATGCACAACTCGGGGAAAGGCTCTGTAAGCCAAGCGAGGTGGCCTCTCTGCGTTACATCAGGATGAAGCTTGAGTGGGATTGTCCTGGCTCCATGAGAGGCAGCGTGGGGGGACATCTGCCCAAAGGGAAGGAATGTGTGTCTGAGCGGAGGAGGTGCTCTCAAGTGGAAAGAGGAAGGAAAGACTCAGTTATTCATTCAGGTGGGGGAGGAAGCTACTAGCAAAAAAACAAGTCTCTGAGAAACCTCCTTGAGGCAGCTGGGGGTTAGACCTATTACTCTGCACCTGCCCCTGTACATTCAGTCCTGCCACACCAGTCCAAACCCAGCTTGGGGCGTCGGGGTGGGGGGGAAGAGGGAATGTGAGCTGCGGAACTGACAGGGGCAGTGACCTCACCAGCAAGCCCTCTGTCAGGGTGGGAGGCCAGGAATCTAAGCAGAGAGACACTGAGTCCCTTCTGGTTAGACATGGGCTGCAGGCTCCTCTGCTGGGTGGTCCTCTGTCTTCTGGGGGCAGGTAAGTCCTGGGAACAGGTGGAACATGTCTGTCTTCAGGCTTCCAGCTTTTTTCAAGGAAGTGCATCCTAAAACTCTCTAAGTTTGGTTTCTTGCTCCCACAGTCTCCATGGACACTGGAGTTACCCAGATACCAAAACATCTGGTAGCAGAGACGGGGAGGAAAATGACTCTGAAGTGCAAACAAAATCTGGGACATAATGCTATGTACTGGTATAAGCAGAGTGTTGAGAAGGCGCCGAAGCTCATGTTTGCCTACAGGTTTAAGGAACTCATTCAAAATGAGACTGTGTCCAGTCGGTTCTCACTTCAACGCCCAAACACCTCCCAGCTGGACCTTCACGTGAGCTCCCTGGAGCCCGAGGACTCCGCCGTGTATCTCTGTGCTAGCAGCCAAGACACAGCCCTGCACCCTCAACTTCTCCCTGTGCACAAACCTCCTGGGTCGAGCCAGGAAGTTGTGGGGGGCAACCAAGTCTCACCTCAACATTTCCTGGAGGGCCCCAGACAGAGATCCCAGACCCTCCTGCTGCCTGTCAGGTCACTGGATGTGGCAATGCTGAGTGCCCGGCACAGACACCCATGCCCGGGGCCTGGCTCTGCCTCGGTCCAGACTGTGCCTGAGCTGAATGCAGGTCAGAGATGGTCCAGCTTCATTCTTCCGAGCAGCGTCCAGTCTGCAGGTGGTCCTTTCATGAGCCACTTTACACTCTGGCCACAGCAGGGCTGACACGTCCCCCACCAACAGATACATTCCTCTGACTTTTCCTTCCACCCACGGGAGTCCCTGGACCTCAGCCCCGGTCCCAGCTCCAAACAGGCCCAGCCCTTTTCCAGAACACCTCCCTCCCTCACCATCTGGCTCTGTCAGTTCCTACCACTGAAGACGATATTCCCTCATCAGGCCTGGATCACTGTTCTCCAGGTGACTGTTGGCTGAATGTACTGGGACTCAGCTCCACACGGCCTTCTCTTCCTCTCAGCCTTTGACACATTCAAGCCTGATCCTTTTTCCTTCTGTCGCTTTAAAGCATCCTCATTCTTCAAGTCTTCACATCTGCATTGTCAGCCACAGGGTCCTCTGCCCTTGGATTGCTGCTGACAACAGGCAAGGGGGAAGTTGCTGACATTTCTGAGCAGGACTGTATCCTCGGGGCTGTCCGTGCTGAACCCCGTATTTCCTGGCATTGCCCCTTGCAAAGGCCCTCCATCCTGCACAGGCCATCAGACCCCAAGGGCTGAGCAGAGCTCCCTGTCCTGGGGAGTCACATGCCTGCACTGACACAAATGTTCCCTCCTCCTTCCTCTGGGGGGCACTCCAGGGACAGTGGGTGTTGCAGGAAATGCTAATGTGTCAGCCAGACTGTCTAAGAACTAGGGGAGCTCAGAATTCTCCTCCTGTTTCTGATGACCAGAGTCCTGAGCTAGGAGAGGACTCATTCCTGTCCTGAGCCTGCCATGGATTCCTGGCTCCTGTGTTGGGTGATTTTTAGTCTCTTGGAAGCAGGTGAGTCCTTGGGAATTGCTCATCTTGGATTCACCTAAGGCTCCTATAAACCATTTCCTTATTCAATCTCTGGCTTCTTTCTCCTCCCACAGGACACACAGAACATGAATTCAGGCAGACTCCAGCCACCAGGTCACAGAGGGGGGCATGAGAGTAATCCTGAGGTGTGACCCCACCTCTGGTCACTTATTCCTACATTCGTACAGACAGATCCTGGGGCAGAAAGTGGAGTTTCTAATTTGATTCTACAAGGATACTCTCCTGGAGAAGTCTGAAACATTCAAGGATCGATTCTCAGCTGGAAGGCCTGATGGATCATTCTTCACTCTGCAGATTGAGTGCACAGAGCTGGGAGACTCAGCCACGTCCCTCTGCGCCAGCAGCACACACACAGCCTTGCAAAGACACCTCCAGCCTGCACACAGACCTGCATGTTTCTGCCTCTTTTCTAGTTCCCAGCATCCCTTTCCGGTTGGACTTACTTTTTCAGCTGTCTCCAAATACACAAATATCTGAAATTAAATTACGAAAGTAGGTAACCATTTCTTTCGCAGAAATGGCCAGGGGCCATCTTTTGCAGAATTTTTATGGACACTGTAGAGCATGTCTGTGGGCTCCAATGATGGGAGCTTTGTTGCCCAGGAAGTGACCATCCAATGACTTATGTTTTCTCTTTACCTCCTTTTGCATCTTGGATTTTGTTTTGTTTTAATAGATTAGAAAAAGTCATTTCTTTTAAAGATTTATTTATTTATTTATTTGACAGAGAGAGAGAGAGACAGTGAGAGCAGGAACGCAAGCAGGGGGAGTGGGTGAGGAAGAAGCAGGCTTCCCATGGAGCAGGGAGCCCGATGCGGGGCTCGATCCCAGAACCCTGGAATTATGACCTGAGCCAAAAGCAGATGCTTAACCACTGAGCCACCCAGGCACCCCAGAAAAAGTCATTTTAACTCATATGATGGAGAAATGATTGCAAAAGAAGGGCTTTGGTATTTGCATGAGAGTAGAGAGGATTTCCAACCATACATCATCAGAAGGATATGCAAGTCAGCACGAGAGCCTGAATTGTCCATGAGTCTTTCTCAATAGGTACCTGATGTAATAACCCATGTGATAATGAGTGAAGAGAAGAGTAACGATGGAGTCCAGTATTGGGACACCACTTCAAGGCCGACAGAGGTCTAGACCAACAAGAGAATCACCAGAATCAAGCTGGGAGGGCAGGATTAGAATTCAGCAGCAAAAATTAAGCAGCATCTAGAAGCAGAGCAGGAATGAACTTGTCACCTTGAACTTGACATGGGGCAGCCCTGTTAACTGTCTGGGTTTGAGTAATACCCCAGTATTTTTAAAGAGTTGGAGCAGGAAAGGTAGAGTGAAGACTTCAAAAGAAAAGAATGGGTTTCCTCATAATAAGTCAGGATGAGCTCAAGTAATGAATAGGAGGGAAAAAAGGTGTGAGCAGATCCTATATGAAATACTCATTTACTCAGTTACATCCATGACAGCACCACCATCCTCAGGGTTAGAGAATGACTGTCTTAGTGATATGAGTTCCCACACAAATTTGTAGACCAAAGGATCCCATTTTACAGCTAAGGACATGAAATAATGGGTATATAATTATGGGATCCAATTTTTGTTCACATACGGTGTCTCTCAGAAGCATCTGACCTTACAGAATGAAAAAGGGGACCTAGTAAAGGTTTGGCTAAGGGGCTAGCTCAGATATAACACCTGTCCAGCTGGGGTGATGTTCTCTAGGATGTGGTATGATTTGAACAAAGGGGTGAAAAATGGAACAGTGTACTCAATCCATGAATCCAGAAGCCATAGGTTGGGGTTAGGATGGATATCCCTCTAATCATCACTCCCAGTGATCCAGTTGAAATTTCATACTTTTTCCCCTCGATGTTTAGGGTCTTCTAGATAACATGTTCTGATTCCTGAAGAAGATGGATGCTTCTACCACAGGACATAGTAACAATCCCAGTGAACCTGAAATTGACTGTGCCTGGTCATTTTAGGCTCCTCTTTCTGGGATCCCAGTAGGTAAGAATGGAGGTACTGAACTTGATTATCATGAGGTGATAGAGTTACTGCTACATAGTGCAAACAGGGAAAGGTTTACCTGGAATTCAGGGAACTAGTTCAAGCGTCTCTTGGTACCTACATTCCTGGTGATAATGACAATTTCGCAATTGCAACCATCTTGGCCTGACAAAGTAAAGGCACCGAAGGGGCTCCAAACCCTCAGAGATGAATGTCTGGGTCACCCATCAGGCAAACAACTTAGACCACTGAAGTGCTAAGCAAAGTTGGAGAAACTCTAAAATCGGTGATGAAGGGAGATAATAAATATCAGTTTGGGCTTTGGGTACCGTACTAGCCGCAGACCTGTAGCCCTAACCCTATGTTTGTACAGATTGCAGCTGGCCACCACCTTGAAGACCTTATTATTTGGACTTGAAGCAAAGCAAGGGGTGGACTGTATCAAATCCCTCTTCTGTATCACTCTTGTCTTCTTGGCCTCACCCCTGATTCCAGCCACAACTATTTCATGCAACTACTCCAAGCAGACATTGACCAGTTCCATATCAATTGAACCTCCTCTTCAATATGGACGATGTAGGGATGCCTGGGTGGCTCAGTCAGTTAAGTGTCTGCCTTTGGCTCAGGTAATGATCCCAGGGTCCTAGGATTGAGCCACACATTGAGTCTCATATCAAGCCCCACATTAAGCCCCACATCAGGCTCCCTGCTCAGCAAGGAGTCTGCTTCTCCCTTTGCCTCTGCCCCTCGCCCTGCTTGTGCTCTCTCTCTCAAATAAACAAAAAAAACCTTTAAAAAAATATGGACCATGTATCTAGCTTTCTTCCTAAAGTACTCTGTGGCCATGGTTGACACCCACAAATGGCCTATTTGAAACTCACACATGCACAACCCAGAAGTGTCAGGGAGTTAATGCTCTTTGGGATGAGAACTAATGGCTAAAGCTTTTGGATTTGTCTCAGACTCCCTTGAAAGTTCTAGATTGATGAGCAGCCCCTTATCTATAATGATGGCCCCATCTTATACATATTTTTCAGATTTTCCATCCTTTTTGCTTCTGTACATGATTTGGCCTAGATATTCCTATCTGACTTATCTTCCAATTTACCTATTCTTTTCAGCTGTATCTGTTCTGCTTTTAAACCCATATATTGAAATCTTAATCATAGGTATTTTGTATATTTCAGCTCTACAATCTCCATTTAAATATTTACTACGGTTTCCAGATGTCTACCAAAATTCCCCTTTTTGTCATCTACTTGGTTGAATATATTAATAGTTATTTTCATGTCGATGTCCTATACCTCAATCTGAATCATTTTGGGTCAGTTTCTTCTGTTTTTTCTTCTTGGTTTTGACCATGTGATCTTGTTTCCTCACACAACAGATAGTATGTGTTTGAATGCCACATGTTGTATATGAAAAATTGTAGAGATAAGATGAAGTTCTGGATGATGTATTTTCTTATAGAGAGGATTCCTTTTTGTTACATAAGATATCTTGGTAAGGGCAGGTCTTCTTAATCTGGTGGGTAATTGATCTGGATTGAAGTAAAACTTCAGTATTTGAATGGCTGTTCACCTTTGCTCCTAGTATGTGATCATTTGGGTTCCAAACTAAATGTCTGGAGTATTTTTACTTTCCTGAAATGTAATTTGCATAACATAATATTTACCCATTTCAAGTGTACAACTCAGTGAATTTAAATAAACTTATGCACTGCACAACTAACACCATGAGCCAGTTCTGAAACACTTCCATCCCCCCCAAAATTCCTTTGTGCTCAATTTCAGTCAATCCCCACTCCTACTATAAGCCCCAAGCCTTGGGTCTTCACTGGGCCCTTCTCCTAGTCAGCAGTCCCTGAACACAGACACTGTTCCCCAGGCCATGTGAGTTCCTCTAATCTTCTCCCCCCTCAGTCTTCTCTTTCTTCTTAGCTTCTCGCCACTGATAATAAATTGGCAGTACTCTCAAGGAAAAGTGGTTTCTCAGATCTAACCTTTGCCTTTGGAGTATGATCTCCTCTCCTTCCTTCCTGCTTTCCTTTCTTTGCAAAGCTTCACACGTAAGCTGCGAGGTACAATGGGGTAGGTACTTGGGAACTAGATGCATAAGCCCCACTAACCCGGCAAACATCTAGGGGGTGCCTCTGGTAGCATCATACAATTTTAAACATGGGCGGAGACTGGAAATTATTTATGTCAGTCCATTGTTTTATAGATGAGGAAATAGGAAGTCATATAAAGGAGTGTTTTTAACTGTGTGACTACTGGTTATATTCCGAACTTCCATATGGAAATCTATTTTATATGTCTAGAGTAGTCTGTGAATATTTTTTTTGTTCTTATCAGAATATAAGCATCATGAGAGTGAGAATCTTGTCTTACCTATGATTTTCACTAAGTAGCCATTCAATGACTGCGAGCAAGTAAAGCATGCCAGAAGTTCCAGGAAGGATGGTGGTTATTTCTATTTGGTTTACTATGGTTTCCCTAGTGCTTGCTCTGTGATCAATTTAAAAAAAAAAAAAAAAGGAAACACCTGTCTTTGCAGAAGTTTGGCCAGTAGTTGACAGTTAGTGTTGTCACATAGTGTGTGTGTGTGTGTGTGTGTGTGTGCACACGCTGCCTCTGTGGCAATCATAGGTTCTTGCTCTCATGCCTAGCTCTTACTGACTTGGGTTTATTAAGTGCTGGAACCTGGACTAGGAGGGCCCTGAGATCTGAGAAGTGTGACTGGTTGACCACTAGGAAGAGCTATGGCTCTTCCAGAACCGCTGAAAGTGAGGGTTGTGGGGTCTGGGGGATTGTTAGAATGAATAAAGGGGACAGGGGGTCTCAACAGTGGCAATTGGGTGAATGTGGAGACATTTTGTTGCCCCAGCTGGGGGTGGGGATGAAGAGTGCTACTGCATGTAGTGGATAGAGGGATAGAGACCAGGGATGCAGCTAAGCAGCCCCAAAACACAGAATTATCCAGTCCAATATGGCAATATCTCTCAGGTTGAGAAACCTTAGGCTGAGCATTTAGTTGTAAATTTTGTACCAAAAGAGATTGTGACTTGTAGACAGCTCAAGGACAGCAAAATCATCCCACCCAGATTTCCTCCAACTTCCATGCTGTCATTCAACTCTCCAGCTGCTTTGCTCCTGTCCCATAGTACTTCTCACTCCCTAGCAAACCCCGGATCCCCAGATAGCTCTGTTCCCCAGGCAGAGAGACCCTCACAGGGATCGGGCTGCAGTCTATTCCTCTTCAAGGAGAATCATCAACAGAGCTTGCTCCTAACATTCATTCTTGAATTTGAAATGGTCTGTGGCTGGTGCTTGGGGGAACCCCACAGTGGGTCCCTTGCCCACAACTGAAGTAGTCAGTGGGGCTGCTGAGCATACATCAGACATTCCAGGGAGCCAAGACATGAGTGGGATCACCCTGCATTACTGTGAAGAAGAAGGAGAAGATCCACAGATGACAAACTAGCCCAACTCTGAGAGTGGAGCCAAAATGGGGAGTCAGGGAGGAGGTGGCCAGATCTGGGGCAGGGAAAATGCAGGGAGGCAGAGAAACATCCTTGAGGCAACATGCTGCCCATTCAAACTATCCCCAGAATTTCCAAACTTCTTTGAAAGGAGGGGAAAGTAAAATGTCTTGAAAGGGACGAGTGCAGGCAATGAAATACACAGAGAGCCCAAGCATGGGGATGTCATTCTAGGCTGTGATGTCCCAGGCAGAGCACCTGTCAGGGCAGTGGACAACCATAGCCTAGTTCTTACCACTGAGGACCAGAATCCTTGGCTAGGACTGCTCCTGTCTCCACCATGGGCTCCAGGCTCCTCTGCTGTATCGTCATCTGCCTCCTGGGAGCAGGTGAGTCCTTGGTCGAGGTGGCAAGGTGCCACTTTGAGTCTCTAAGCCTGTTCATCATGTGTCCAGCCACAGGCTGCCTCCTGGGACTTATCTGAATACTGCTTTTTTCCTTCTCAGCCCCCTTGGACACAGCAATTTCCCAGACTCCAAAACACCTCACTGCACAGACAGGAAATAAGAAGTTCTTAAAATGTGAACAAAACCTGGGCCATAATGCCACATACTGGTATAAGCAGGACTCCCGAGAAATTGCTGGAGGTCATGTTTATCGACAACAATATGGAACTCATTCTAAATGAAACAGTTCCAAGATGTTTCTTACCTGAAACTCATGACAAAGCTTGTTTAAACCTTCACGTCGACTCTCTGGAGACAGGTGATTCTGCTGTGTATCTCTGTGCCAGGAGCCAAGACACAGCCCTGCAAAGTCATTACCTCCCTCTGCATAAACTCCTGGCCCATCCAGTAAGCTGTGGGGGCCACAGGTTCACTCGACCCTGAGGCTCCATTCACCCCCCGAGGCACATGTACTTCCACTCTAGTACAGGCTGCCAATTACCCAGTGGTTTTGGTTGGACAGTTACGCTCACTCAAGTCTTAGAGAATTCTACCTATCAGTGGGAAAAATAAATTCACTGAAGTAGTCCGGATTTCCAATATGTTCATTGAAGTGCTCAGGATTTCAAAAATAAGGGAGGACCTTGTCCATGCACTGAAGATGTTCACTGATGGAAGGAGCCATTCCTTGAATTCTCTGCTGCACATATTAGTGCTTAGTGTATGAATATTTTGAATGAAAATACACTATGCATTAAAAATGTTCCATGAGCAAAAGCCTAGAGGAAACTGAAGTGAAGATAATAGGGTCTAAGACCCCAAGGAAATTCAGATTATCAGTGAGTTCACTGGATAGAAAAATATTTGGAGAAGCATGAAAGTTCATGGCAACAGGTAAACTAGAAAGAAAGGGCTGGGGATAGCACCAGTAGAGGTAGGCTTGTGCACTGCAGGCTCTGTCCCTTCCAGGAGGAGGACCAGCGCGACTCTTCCCCATTCTGATCCAGTGGCATCTTGAAGATTCCTCCAGCACAGGCAGTACCCAGATGATGGAGGGTATTATAGACTTTGAAAGGAATTTGGACACAGATCTCTAGGCAGCAGCTAGTCGTTGGTCCTACCTGAAGCGAGATAACATGAGCAAATTTGTATTTGGTACAACGACACTGGGAGCAGCATGGATGAGAAGAGTGAGAGTTTGGGGATGGAATTCACAATTAGGAGACTTCTATGATATTCTTCAGGGAAGATTATAAAGGGTTTATGTAGGGCATTGTGGACAATATAGAATAGAAGCTCCGGATTCTTTCTGCTCTTCTGAAGAGCATTAGGTTTCAATGAGGCCATAGCGAATGCAGGATTTGCTAGAATCTACTTCGGTTTTGCCCTCCCTGTTCAGGAGCCCTGGCATGGTGTCATTATTATTAGTTCATGACCTTTTGGGCGTCTCAGTGGGGAATCGCAGCACATTCACCAATGTCTCTCATCCTAACTTGGTCTGAATGCCAGTGTCTTCTGGCTGAGTGTCTTCTGAACTCTCTGCTCAGCTGTCCAACCTACTAGAATCTGGCCTCTGCTCAGCCTTCTGGACTCCCATGCTGGGCATGCAGGACAGCAAGTAGCCAGGAAGAAAGAGGATTTCCTTACACTCATCCTTAGGGTTCCCTTTCAGTACTCTGTGCCCCACATCTGAGCAGTCTTGGGGTCTTCAAGCAACATTTGCTATTACTATTTTATAGAGAGAACGTTTATCGGAATTTCCTTACATGTTTACCATTCTACCTCTTCACTGTGTCTTCTTGCGATTCAGATCGTCCTTACATCATTTCCTTCTTCAGGCACATCCCTAAATCAGATAACTCAAACTCACCTTTCACCCACCCCTTGCTTTGGGAAAGGCTTATGTTAGCTATTGTTCTCAGGGCAACCGAGCCTTTCGCTTCCACATGTTGTTCAAGATTTCAGTTGAAAGTATATTGTGTTTTGTAATCCTTGGTTTTTTACTTACTGGGAGCCAAATAACAAGTCAAGTTTTATTTATTCATGTTTTGGCTCTTTCATTGGAGAAGCGCTAATCCCTGTCTTCTTGCTACAGTGGATGTGCAGCATAATAAATAATAAATATAATAGTAACAGTGCTAGCCTTTCCACTAGGGTTAAGTTTAGGTTCTTGTCCAAGAATGGGATATCTCCAACTGTAGTGAATCGGAGGTCCGTCATACACCTCACCTGTTCAGCAGGAGAATATCCAACCCTTTGCTTAAATTCTCACCCGTTTGCCCTTATATTTTCTTTGTTTTATGGGCCACATTGAAAATCTGATAAACTTTATTATAGTAGAAGAATGAGTAGAGATTGGATGTCCTAGGTGTGTGGATGAACGGCAATGTTATTGACGCTTTTTGTTGTTTCAGATGCTTCTTTGCTCTTCGCGGGTGCGTGGATCTTGTACCCATCACAGTGTCGACCCCCGCTTTCCTCCCCTCTGGTGAACGAGGGATTGGCATCCTCTGCATTGCTGCCCCTGGGCTGGTTAGAAGCCTGCCATCCGGGAAATGTGCTGCCCTGGGGCATAAGAGGGCGCTGTGGCTCTATCGAAAACGCGGAGGCTAGCTGGGGGAGAATGGGAGTGAACACTGGGAAGGGGTGAGGGGGTAAGCAGGGCACTGGGGCTCTATCCTTATGTCAGTTGGGAACATCAGGTGCAGATACCTCAAAGGTACTAACTGAAATCATTCTCAAATTGGTTTCCCTTTGTCCTGCACGGGATGCCTTGTGTGGTCCTTGAGCATCTTGTTTTTTTCTCAGCCCAGCCAAGCACTGTACCCTCAGTACTGGGTCTGAGGATGCCTGGTCCCTTGTCCCCTCAGCCACCCTTCCCAGAGCCTGGCTCCTGGCTGGCCTCACAGTCCTGCATTTGTAAGGGTGGGCGCTGCCCCCAAATGGAAACACGACCCTCCAATTTCCCACCTCCACAGAGCTGGGCAAAAGCGCTCCATGGAGCTGCGACACTGAGGGAAACAAACTTTTGAGAGATATCTGCAGGACTGAGCAGGTATGGAAGGAGGTCCCTGGAAGCAGACATGCTCTGTTGCTGAGCGGGGTCTTGGGCGGATGGGGATGGAGAGAGAGTCTACGTAATGAGGACGGCAGCTAATACATGAGAGCGACTGTCAGAGGATTAGCTCAGCACAGTCAGTGTGAAGCCACCTTCTATCAGAATCTATACAACATGTGAAAGGGGGAGGAAGAAACACACCCTGGGGCTGGGGAAACCTGCAGGGACAGTGACATCACAGGCACACCACCAACCAAAGCCCGGGAGACCAGAGCCCAGCCCCCTCCCCAGGACACCCTAGTTAGATGATGCCCACCTGGGCCCTGACTCCACCATGGGCTGCAGGCTGCTCGGCTATGTGGTTCTCTGTCTCCTGGGAGCAGGTGAGTCTCGGGTTCCAGTGGGCTGCCCCTGGACCCCGAGCCCAGTCCCTGTGCCTCAGCAACAATCTTCTCTCCGGGTTTTGTCTGAATTTTGTCCCTTTCTTTCAACAGTCTCCACGGACACTGGAGTTACCCAGATACCAAAACATCTGGTAACAGAGACGGGGATGAAAGTGACCCTGGAGTGCAAACAAAATCTGGGACATAATGTTATGTACTGGTATAAGCAGAGTGCTCAGAAGCCGCCGAAGCTCATGTTTGCCTACAACTATTATGAACTCGTAGAAAATGAGACTGTCTCCAGTCGGTTCTCACTTCAACGCCCAGACACCTCCCAGCTGGACCTTCACGTGAGCTCCCTGGAGCCCGAGGACTCCGCTGTGTATCTCTGTGCTAGTAGCCAAGACACAGCCCTGCACCCTCAACTTCTCCCTGTGCACAAACCTCTTGGGTCGAGCCAGGAAGCTGTGGGGGGAACCAAGTCTCAGCTCAACATTTCCTGGAGGGCCCCAGACAGAGATCCCAGACCCTCCTGCTGCCTGTCAGGTCACTGGATGTGGCAATGCTGAGTGCCCGGCACAGACACCCATGGGGCCCGGCTCTGTCTCGGTCCAGACTATGCCTGAGCTGAATGCAGGCCAGACACAGTCCAGCTTCATTCTTCTGAGTAGCGTCCAGTCTGCAGGTGGCCCTGGGGAATCATTCATGAGCCACTTTATACTCTGGCCACAGCAGGGCTGACATGTCCTCCGCCAACAGGTACCTTCCACCCACATGAGACTCCGGATATCAGCCCTGGTCCCAGCTCCAAACAGCCTCAGCCCTTTTCCAGAACACCTTCCTCCCTCATCACGTGGCTCTGTCAGTTCCTACCACTGAAGACAATATTCCCTCATCAGGCCTGGATCACTGTTCTGCAGGTGACTGTCTGCTGCATGTTCTGGGACTCAGCTCCACACGGCCTTCTCTTCCTCTCAGCCTTTGACACATTCAGGCCTGATTCTTTTTCCTTCTGTCGCTATAATCCTCATTCTTCTGGTTTTCACATCCTGCATTGTCAGCCACAGGGTCCTCTGTCCTTGGATTGTTGTTGACAACAGGTAGAGAGGTAGGCCCCCTGCATTTCAGAGCAGGACCATATCCTCGGGGCTGTCTCTGCTGAACCCCGTATTTCCTGGCATTGCCCCTTGCAAAGGCCCTCCATCCTGCACAGGCCGTCAGACCCCTAGGGCTGAGCAGGGGCCTGTGTCCTGGGGAGTCACATGCCTGCACTGACAGGAATGCTCCCTCTTCTCTCCTCTAGGGGGGCGCTTCAGGTACCGTGGGCACCCCTGAACAAAGTTTCAGACCATAATACCACCAGCCAATGCAATTCATGTGGCAACTCTCCAATCTAGGGCCATCTTTAGAGTTTGGGGTTTCTCTTACGTGAGTGTGTCTCTTTCCTGTCAACTGGTTGAAAGATAAACACATCTGGATTCAGTACTGTTAATGCCTCTTCTATCATGAAATAAAACTAGCCTGCTGTAAAGTGGGTCTTTTGGCTTAAGGTTTCACAGGGATCCTCTAAACAAACACAAGTGTCCCCACAAGTCACACCCTACAGAGGACCAGAGGATAAGTGGGGGGCCCTCCGAGGAGGTGTGCCGCTCTAGACTCTGCAGATCCATGGTTTCTGAGCCTCTCTCCTCGGGAACCAAGGAGCCCCTGCTGTGGGGCTGTTGCCACACCAGGTCAGCTCTGAGATTTGGGGAATCAGAGAAGGGACTTCCAGGCAAGGCCCAAGGGCCCAAGCCAACTAAAGGACAGTAGGAGATCCAGCCTTTGGGAAATGGGTTTGAGACAGATGTGTGTGTACGTCTTCACCCGTTCTTCTCTTCCATAATCTAGCTTTCTCCAATTTCTCTTTTTCCCATTCAAGGCTAGCCCTCAAGCCCTAGCCCTGATCCAAGCCCCAAATTGGCAGACAGCTGCTCTAGGCCACACAGGCAGCAAACGGGCCTTCGCTTCTACCCATTCAGAGCCAGGGGACACTGGGTTGGGTACTTACATTCTCGTCCACTCTCCTTCCCTTCACTGGAATGTCCTGTCAGATTTCAGGTCTCCAGTCCTCACGTGGTCTCCTCTCCACACTGACGTTTGTAGGCTTATTTCTTCCTTTGGTGTCTTTATTCCCAGCGTTAAATCATCAGGCTCAGAACTGTGAGTCACAGAGTCAATGTCTCTGGACTGTAGGTCTCATGTGGCTGTTGGGGGGAGCATGGGTCCTGCCAGTCTGCTCAGGTCTTCATCCCTGGCCTTGCTGGCCTCAAGCTCTTCTTTTCCAAGGGTCCTTCTGCAGTCACAAAATTTTGCTCAGGGCCTGTGGGCCTGCCGGCTGCAATGCATGCAAGGGGCTGAACCTGGGGGCATCACATGTCTACAGCAGTACCAAGGCTTCCGGCTTCCTCCCATGGAGGTGCTCCTGAATCTGTGGGTGCCGCCCAAGACGGTGACGTCAAAGGTCTCCTTCCTGGACTACTAATGACCAAATGCCCCACTGGGAGAGGCCTCCCCTCCCCCTGCCCCTGCCATGGACAGCGGGCTCTTCTGCTGGGTGACCTTTGGTCTCCTTGGAGCAGATGAGCCCTGAGAGTGTGGGGATATTCCTAGCCCACCCCCTTTATCTAAGGCCAGTTCTGAACTTCTGCCTTATTCTCTTTCTGTCTTCTGTCTCCTCCCACAGGACACATGGAACCTGGAGTCAGCCAAAGCCTTAGCCACTATATCACAGCCGTGGGACAGAGCGTGGCTGAGGTGTGACCGCATCTCTGGTCATTTGTACTTCTTCCAGTATCGATAGTCCCAGAAAGGGGAGTGGAGTTACTGATTTCCATCTATGACAAGGTTCCTTCAGAGAAGGCAGAGTTTTTGGGGAATCCATTCTCAGCTGAGATGCCTGCCTCACAGACCATACTCACTCTGAAGCCCCAGGTTGTGCAGCTGGGGGACTCAGCCACAGCCTTGGAGAGATGCTTCCTGCCCTTGCACAATTTCAAGGCTTCTCTGCTCCAAGGCTTTCAGTAGTCCTTCCTGCCCAAGGGGGTGGGGCTGCAGCAGCTTCCCATGAGCAGAGGTCAGAAGTTAACTGTTTTTTTTTTTTGTTTTTTTTTTAAGTAGGATCCTCTCCCAGCATGGAGCCCAATACTGGGCTTAAACTCACAACCCTGAGACCAAGACCTGAGCTGAGGGAGCCTAGATGGCCCCGTTCAACTCTTGATTCAGCTCAGGTCATGATCTCGGGGTTGTGAGATCAAACCCCACGTCGGGCTCCCTGCCCAGTGGGAAGTCTGCTTGCTTGAGATTCTCTCTCTCCCCCTCTCAAACAAATAAATTAAATCTTAAAAAAAAAAAAAAAAACACAAAGACCTGAGCTGAGATCAAGAGCCCAGTGCTCAACCAACTGAACCACCCAGGCACCCCAGAAGTTAACTTTAATTTGCAGAATAGGAGTATTGCACAGGGGTATCTGGACTGTGGTATTGAGGAAACATTGTCAGACACCACAGAATGTGGCTATGGCCCCCAAGGATGGGACAAGTATGGCCAAGTGAGTGACCAGACAAGCCTACAGAGGAACCTGTGAAGGACTGACTTTTCAGGAGATAAGACCCAAGGGTTCTTGAACAATCAGCTGAAGGGATGATGTAGGGAGCACTTTATGAGGGAGATACCATATTTCCTATTAATAAGGCAGGTAGACTTCAAGTGTTCAATTAGAAAGACAAATTAGAATCAGTGTTCGAGGCTAGTTGAGTATATCATATTGATTATACACCTAGTTATTCATCCATTTACTAATTCATTCATTTACTCTTTGAACAGACGATATCCTACCCCAAGATATGGAAAGTATGGTCAGTGCACCGCAGGGACCCCATGGGTGTCAGAGGAAGAATCAGTCCCAGTGTCAGCCTGCCTTAGTCAGGAGTCAGCCTGCCATGATCAGAGAACTCTCCTTTATGCCAGGAAGGGGCTGAGCCCTCTCGAAAGGGTGTGCTGGGGCTGCTAAGACAGAAACACCATGGAGAGAACATGCAAAATGCAGAGAAGATGTACATTCTCCTATTTTTAGGGTGCCCATGATTTATCACCCAAAGGGGAGCCCTTGGGGAGAGAAGGGGTGCTGTTATTACACTTGAGCAACAGACGTAAAGTAGGACATATGTTTACCCAGCCTGTGTCTCATCCCTGGGACTCATCTCAGAGGCCTGAGCAGGAAGAGGATTTAATCTTGGGGAAAGAGCTGTAGGAGGGGAACAAGAGGAATGGTGCTGGGAGCAGTGGCCGTGGTGGCCCAGGGGGTCTTGCTGGGGGGTCTCCCTGCAAGGATGGCCCTGAGAACACCATCCCTTAGTCCCCTGAGAACACTGTCCCTTAGTCCCGAGGAACCTCCAAGGGCTGAGCACACTGGCAGAAGCAGAAGAACAGGACACGGGGATAGTATATTGTGGCAAGTGGCCCTTCACTCCTCCAACCCTGACCCCCGGAAACAGCAGACAAAGCCCATTTTCCTGGTGGCTGGGAGGAAATACAGGTCCCTGGTGCAATCCAGCAGATGGGAATCTCCGGGAGTCCACCCTGATTGGGTTCAGCCTAAGGTGGAGGATGATTCCGGAACAACAGACAACCCTGGGGCTCCCTGGGACATGTAGGGACTCGAGCCATGGTGCAAGGCTGCAATTTACTGTTCATGCATTAGGGCCCAGAATTAGTACCTTTCGGATATCCACAAATATTTGATTTTCTTTTGTAAGGTCAATTTAGGGAGTTCTGTGCATATCTGATAACATGTATATTTTATAAGTAATTTTAGAAAGAATTCTGTCTGGACAGATACAAAAATATTAATGGTTGTTGACTCTGGATAGTGGGATGCATTTTTTTATTACATGAAATGAAATGCATAATAATAAATGTAAATTACATACATTCTGTCAAATGGAAAAACTAGCAACACCACCCCAGTCAAGATACAGATACGTCATCACCTCTTGGTGTTAAGTCCCCTTCTGATCAATACCCATCCCCCTGGGTAACCAATGCTCTGATGTCTATCATCAGAGATTAGATTTGCTTGTTCTTGAATTCCATGTAAATGGAATCATATACTTTTTTGTGACCAGCATCTTTCACCTAACATATGCTTTTGTTAATCATCCTTATTATTATGTGTAATAGTAATTTGCTCTTTTTTTATTTGTTGTATTTTTTTATTGGGTGACTCTACCACACTTTGCATATCTATTTACATGTTGATGGACATTTAGGTTGTTTCTAGATTTGGGTTATGACAAATAGAGCTTCAAGAAACAGCATTCTGGTACAAGACTTTGGTGTGGACATATACTTTTTTTTTAATTTAATTTTACTATGTTATGTTAGTCACCATACAATACATCATTAGTTTTTGATGTAGTGATCCATGCTTCATTGTTTTCATATAACACCCAGTGCTCCCTGCAGTACGTGCCCTCCTTAATACCCATCACTGGGCTAATCCCTTCCCCCACCCAACGCCCTCCAGTTT